AGCATTCTGAACTCCACCAATGATGGAATTGAACCAAATATGGCACACAGAACTCGCACGACAAACAGAAAATATATATCAATGATTGGTTGGGGGGGGGGGCGCCAAAATACTGTTTGCTTAGCACTGAAAATTACCTAGGGCCACCGCTGGCAGCTCATCTTAGTATTTTGGTGCAATCACTTTTCTTGCAATGCGTAGGATTCTAGAATGGTAGAATGAGGATGCCTGCCACAGATGCAGGCGAAACGTCAGGAGAGAATGCTTCTACAACATGGTTGTATAGCCCGAAAAACCGACAACAACCCAGTGAAGGACAAGCCTTCCTTGCACCCCATCCCTCTTTATATATTCTTCTGTGTAATGATTCCCAATTGCACATCTGCTTCATGCTCTGAATCAGGTGTGCATGAAATTTTCCCCTTTGTAAATATCCTCTTTGCTCCTTGTGGGTCCCGTGGAGGCAAAGCAAAGATATCTTGTGCAGGGAGCACAGGTAGAAAGCAGTACAGGTGATGGAGCAGCAGGTGCGCCAAAGAGATGTGCTGCCTTTCCATGTCAAGCTTGCAGAATTGGTGTAGTACTTCTATAAGATCCATTGCAGAGGAAAGAACTGGGGAAACCAGTCCTTATTTTCCTCCCAAAATAAGCCATCGGGAAAGGGCATCGATGGGGCAGGGTTTGAAGTCAGGCAGCAGCTGAATTTAGGGGAACAGCAGTCAAAAAGGGGTGCCCCTCTCAAAGAAAACCCGGCGAATTTCCCCCATAATGGTCATTTGTCAGTGCAGAGTCTATGCAGCAAGGTCCAGCATCCAGGCGGTGGCTGCATTTGGCATCACTGAATGGGGAGCAGCACTCCAAGGGGTCCAAGGAAAGAGGACCCCAAAGACGTTCATATTCCCGAAGGTCCTGGAGGTCCCGGGGGGCCTGGCAACCCCGGCCGACCCCTCAACCCGGGGTCTCCTTTCGGCCCCGTCGGCCCCATCGGCCCCGGTTCACCCGGCTTTCCTGGGATACCCGGTTTGCCTTCCAGCCCTGGTGGTCCGTCCGGTCCCGGCTTTCCCTCGGGTCCCTGGGGGCCCACGTCTCCTTTGGAGCCCGGCTGCCCTTTGGCCCCGGACTGCCCGAAGCTCCCCTTGGCCCCCTTGAATCCAGGGAGGCCCTTGGAGCCCGGCGGCCCCCTCTCGCCTGGAGGGCCTGGGTCCCCTGCAACGCCTCGCGACCCCTTTGGCCCCGGAGGGCTCACGCTGCCCGGGTCGCCCTTCGGCCCTCGGCTTCCTGGCGGGCCCTTGATGCCCAGGTCTCCGCGGTAGCCTCTGGGGCCTGGCGGGCCAGGAACACCTGCAGAGGGAGAAAGGAAGGAAGGAAGTGAAGAGACATAGGTTGGAATGACTGAAGTCTGCGATATTTGCTTAACAATATCTGCTAATAATAACTTCTGTGATATTTGCGAAGGATAACTGCCTAACAAGTGCACTTAACAACTGAAGTTGTAGTTGACCTCCATCCAGAGAGCACTGTGAACCCAAACACCAATGGATCTGGACCGAGCTCGGCAGGTGGTGAGGGCTTGGTGGCAAAGGTTCCCCAGACTGCCAGGCCTCCCGGTTCTGTCCCACTTAAGCTCAGTAGGGGGTGAGTGCCAGGCAGCCATGGCACTCCATGGATGGTCAGGCCATGCGGGGAGCCATCCGCCTGGCTCCCACTGTTGTATCTCAGGCTAAGATTCACCTTGCTATCTTTAACAAACCAGCCACAGTTGTGAGGTATGAAGTTTATTGTGAGGTATTTAAACAAAGCAGTTCATAAGCAGTGAGAAGATCAGAAGTACAAGGTAAAAATCCAATAATAATCCCTTCTGCCAAGGCAGGAGACTTGCAGCATAGAATCAGAGTAAAGTCCAGGAAATAGCATGAAGTACATGAGCAGCCTTTCCCAAGGCCCCAGAGCCGAAGCAAGCCTTTAAGCAATGTTGGAACTGACACTGAACAAGCTCCAAGGCAGAGTACTTATACGTTAAACATCAAAACTTTGCACATCAAACAAGCAGTAAACAAGCAGCTAACAAGCAGTTTTCCCACCAACGGATGATCTCAACATTTGGCTGCAATCCGTGAGCTCCGTCTCAACACCTGGCCAGCTTGACCTTGATTCCCACCGACTACCTTATCAGCTGCATTCCGTTCTTGTGAGAACAGCGGCTTGTCTCTAGCTACAGGCTGTGACTGAGAAAACTGAAAGCCAACATCTGCACTCTCATTTCCAGCATGCTGTTCTGCACTCTCATTCCCATCATGCTCTGCACTCTCATTTCCAGCATGCTGTTCTGCACTCTCATTCCCATCATGCTGTTGCTGTTGAACCACAACACCCACACCCTTCCGAATTTGGAAAGGTGCATGGGCCGGTCTGAAAGGCTGCCCACACGGCAGCCATTTTGGAGAGACCGGGGCCAACCAAGGCAGCTTTGCGACCCCCCAAAATTGCCTAATGACCCCCCTGGGGGTCGCAACCCTCAAGTTGAGAACCGCTGTGCTAGAGGATCAAGAGAGTCCTAGAGCAGTGGTTCTCAACCTTCCTAATGTCGCGACCCCTTAATACAGTTCCTCATGTGTTGGTGACCCCCAACCATAACATTAGTTTCATTGGTATTTCGTAACTGTAATTTTGCTACTGTTACGAATCGTAATGTAAATATTTGATATGCAGGATGTATTTTCATTCACTGGACCAAATTTGGCACAAATACTCCATATGACCAAATTTGAATACTGGTGGGGTTGGAGGGGATTCATTTTGTCATTTGGGATTTGTAGTTGCTAACCTATAATCAAAAAGCATTCTGAACTCCACTAACAAAGGAATCGAGCCAAATTTGACACACAGAACTCTCAAGACCAAGAGAAAATACTGGAAGGGTTTGGTGGGTATTGATCTTGAGTTTTGGAGTTGTAGTTCACCTACATCCAGAGAGCACTGTGGACTCAAACAATGATGGATCTGGACCAAACTTGGCACAAATACTCAATATGCCCAAATGAACACTGGTGGAGTTTGGGGAAAATAGACCTTGACATTTGGGAGTTGTAGTTGCTGGGATTTATAGTTAACTTACAATCAAATAGCACTCTGAACCCAGCCCAAAATGGATCTGCACCAAACTTGGCACACTACTGACATGGCCAACATTAACTACTGGTGGGATTGGGGGGGGGGGGTCTGTTTTTGAATTCTGGGAGTTGTCATTCACCAACACCAAAAAGGATGAGGGCTGGCGGAGAGATCTTCAGCCTTCTCTACCAAAAGGGTTCCTAAGACCATGAGAAATATGTGTTTTCTGATGGTCTTTGGTGACACCTCTGAACCCCCTCACGACCCCCCCAGGGGTCCCAACCCCCAGGTTGAGAAACACTGTCCTAGAGTGATATTCTTTCACTAGTTCCCCATATGACTAGGAGTTGTAGTTCCAACTTTTGCTATTTGCAAAAGTTGATTATCCTCCCTGGGCCTGGCCTGGCACTGCATTCATTTCCCTTTGCCATGGAAAAAAGGATGCAATGCCCAGCACCTTGGCAAAGGCTGTGGGTCCCTGTCCGTGGGTCCTACCTCTGCTTGAGCCAATGCAGCATTGCGTCCAAGCCAATGGTCACCAAGATGGAGAGGGCCAATCCTGTCCTCCGTTGGGTGCACAGAAAGCCCTTTATTGTCCTGTTTAGGAGCCTGGAGCACGCTCCGTCCCCAGTCGCTCCCACAGGGCAGGTAACTAGTGAGAAAAGTGCTGGTGTTTCTTATGTTTTCCCCCTTTTTAAAGTAGATTTATTTGCACAGCCAGGCTTTCCATCTGGGAGTCTCTTTCTCTCCGAGCAGCACAAGAGGAACCCCAGGCAAAATTGCTTAGGCTGGGTCTACACCCGAAAGACAGTTTGGAAGTCTCTAGTAAGGGTGGAAAATCATAGAATCCCAGGGTTGGAAGGGCAACTCACTCCCGTCTTGCAGGAAGGCACAATCCAAGCCCTCCTGAGAGACACCCATCAACCTCTGCTTCAGCAACAGAACATGCAGATGTTGAGACAGAGTACTTAAGAGCACGAGTAAAATGGTTTTCCTTCACCATGCATAATCTCAACCAACTCTTTATGGAATTAATTGGAAGGGCAGTAGCAGTGTTCAGAGTCCCATCACACATATCCAAACGTTTCTCCCTCTATTTTTATTTATTTATTTATTTACTAGCCATCCCCTGCCACACATTGCTGTGGCCCAGTCTGTGTATATGTGTTTTGTGTGTGCATACATGTGTATATGTGTGTATTTATATATTTGTGTATATGTGTATTTATGTGGTTATGCGCATGCGTTGTAATATTTTATTTTTGGCTTTTTAAGTCTCTTCCTCTGTGTTTTTCAGTGTTTTTATGAGTGACTGTGGCCAAACCTTCCCTCCCTCTTTCTTTCCTTTCTTTCTCTCCTTCCTTCCCTCCCTCTTTCCTTCCTTCCCTCTTTTTCTTTTCCTTCTTCTTTCCCTTTTTCTTTCTTCCTTCTCTACCTGTTTCTTTCCTCCCTTCCTTTGCTCTTTGGTTCCATCCTTCCTTCTCTCTTTCCTTCTTTTCTTCCCTCCCTCTTTCCTTCTTTCCCTTCTTTCTTCCTTCCTTCCTTCCTTCTTTCCTTCTTCCTTCCTTCCTTCCTTCCTTCCTTCCTTCCTTCCTTCCTTCCTTCCTTCCCTCCCTCTTTCTGTCTTTTGTTCCTTCTCTCCTTCCTTCCCTTTCTCTTTCCTTCCTTCTTTCACTTGTTTTTGATGTGTTACCACCCTTGTGGGAGGCTTCTCTCATGTCCCCACATGGGGAGCTGGAGCTGATAGAGGGAGCTCATCCACGCTCTCCCTGGGATTCGAACCTGTGACCTATCGGACTTCAGTCCTGCCAGCACAAGGGTTTAACGCACTGTGCCACCGGGGGCTCCAAATAATAATAATAATAATAATAATAATAATAATAATAATAATAATAATAGACAATTTAGACAGAAAAACAACTCATGACCATTCATCATCCACTGCATCCTCACAGTGATGTTGATCGGCTCTATCTGCCAAGAAGGTCTAGTGGCAGAGGACTTTTACAAGTCAAACAAGTAGTCGAAGAAGAAAAACACGATGCCCTGGCAGAATATGTTAAGGAAAGCCAAGAACCTGCTTCAACTGGAGTCGGTAATCGGAAACTTCTCAAAGCACAGCAGACAAAGAGTCAGTACTAGAAAACTGTGCTACAAATCAGAGCTGACAGCTGGCACAACAAAGCCTTGCATGGGCAGTTCCTTGACAAAATTGAAGGAAAAGTTGACAAGGAGAAGACCTGGTTATGGCTCACGAATGGAAACCTGAAGAAGGAGACAGAAGAAGACCTGATTCTTGCAGCTCAGGAGCAAGCCATCAGAACCAATGCCATTAAGGCCAGGATGACCCAAAATGTTGACTGTGCTAGGAAGCAGATGAAACCATGGACCATCTCCTCAGCTGTTGCAAGAAAATTGCACAGACAGACTACAAACAGAGGCACAACTCTGTGGCCCAGATGATTCACTGGAACTTATGTCACAAGGACCACCTGCCAGCAGCAAAGAATTGGTGGGATCATAAACCTGCAAAGGTCGTGGAAAATGAACACGCAAAAAATCCTGTGGGACTTTCGAATCCAGACTGACCAAGTTTAGGAACACAATACACCAGACATCACGATTGTGGTAAAGAAAAAAGTCTGGATGATTGATGTCGCCATTCCAGGTGACAGTCGCATTGAGGAAGAACAACAGGAAAAACTCAGCCGCTATCAAGACCTCAAAATCAAACTGGAAAGGCTCTGAATGCATCAACCAGTCCAGGTGGTCCCAGTGGTCATCGGCACACTGGATGCCATGCCAAAAGATCTCAGCCGGCATTTGGAAACAATAGACAAAATCAGGATCTGTCAACTGCAAAAGGCGACCTGTCTTGGATCTGCGCACATCATTCGAAAATACATCTCACAGTCCTAGACGCATGGGAAGGGTTCGACTTGTGATTTTGTGATACAAAATCCAGCATAGAGACCTCGTTTGCTGTGACATACTGGGCTTTTGTGTCAGTAAAATAATAATAAGTCTCAAGCCCTCCTGAAAGATGCCCACCAGCCTCTGTTTCTTCAATGTGGATGCACCCTCCCACTTGGAAACCTGAAGCATCCCTGGGAAGCAACCACCCAACTTTGAATAACTGAAACTCCAAAACCAAAGAACTCATGCCTTCAGGGATTTGGGTCCAATATCTCATTGGAATCTCTTTTCTTGGGAATCCATAGACTCCTTTGCAGCACAGAATCACACAGCTGAAAGGGGCACCCAAAGGCCATCCAGACCATCTCCTCTGCAGAACAGAATCACAGAGTTGAAAGGGACACCTAAGGGCCATCCAGACCAACCCCCTTCTGCCAGTCATTATCAAAGCCCTCCCAACAGATAGCCACACAGCCTATCTTTATTCCAAAGCATAGACATGGACACCCTTCAACATGGACATCCTATTGCACTATTACAGGGAAAACCAGCTGATCCCCAACCCATCTAAAACACAGACATGTGCTTTTCACCTTAAGAACAGACAAGCATCCTGAGCTCTGAGGATCACCTGGGAAGGAATCCCACAGGAGCATTGTAGCACACCCAAATACCTGGGAGTCACTCTGGACCATGCTCTGACCTACAAGAAGCACTGCCTGAACATCAAGCAAAAAGTGGGTGCTAGAAACAAGATCATACGAAAGCTGACTGGCACAACCTGGGGATCACAACCAGACACAGTGAAGACATCTGCCCTTGCGCTATGCTATTCTGCTGCTGAGTACGCATGCCCAGTGTGGAGCACATCTCACCACGTGTGGAGCACATCTTAATGAGACATGCCGCATTATCACGGGGTGTTTGTGCCCTACACCACTGGAGAAATTACACTGTCTGGCCGGTATTGCACCACCTGACATCCGCCAGGAAGTAGCAGCCAATAGCGAAAGGACCAAAGCAGAGACAGCTCCAGCCCATCCCTTGTTTGGGTATAAGCCAGCACGTCAACGACTTAAATCAAGAAATAGTTTTCTAAGATCGACAGAGACACTCGCTGGAACACCTCAGCAAGCAAGAGTCCAAAAGTGGCAGGTTCAAGCCCAGAACCTTAATCAGTGGCTGATACCAAATGAGAGACTCTCCCCCGGGCACACAGAAGACTGAGCGACTTGGAAGGTGCTGAACAGACTGCTCTCTGGCACCACGAGATGCAGAAATGGGGCCACAAAGTGGAATCCACGACATGCAACGTGTGGAGAAGAGCAAACCACTGACCACCTGCTGCAATGCAACCTGCCACATGCACAATGGAGGACCTTCATATAGTAACACCAGAGGCACTCCAAGTGGCCAGATACTGGTCAAAGGACATTTAATCCATTACCAAGCTTGCAAACTTTGTGTTTTGTTTGTTTGTTTGTTAAAAAATGCAATACAACTGTTTGGTTTGCTCCTGACACAATAAATAAATAAATCCCATTGCATTATCCTCTCCGCTTGGGCACTCACCTCGCAATATGGTGACGTTCCAGAGGATCTCCCCATGCCGGACGTCGACCACCTTCATCTCCTCCATGACCATGGAGAGGTTGCGGATGTCGAAATCCAGGCGGGCGCTGAGCAGGCTGAACCGCTCCCGCAGGAGGTCTGTGGTGCCGAGCATGAGCCCTACCGACTTGTTCAAGTAGTAGAGCTCCTCGGCCTGTGTGTGGAAGCCCAGCGTGCAGGAGAGCCGCACATCGTCCAGGTACTTGAGCATGCTGTGGACGTGGCTGTCAGTGGCATTGATGTTGGCGAAGATGGTGCCGATCTCGATCTCGTGGGAAGCCATGCGCCCCTCCAGGGTCTCAAAGTGCTCCGCTGTCCGGTTCTGGGTGTATCTAACAAGATGGGATTCAAACAGGGAGAAAGGTGAGATACTCTACTTTATTTATTTATTATTTGAACTTCTATGCGGCCACTCCCCTGGGGCTTGGAGCGGCTTACAAGACTGACTAAAATCTAACAAAATTTAAAAAGCAATTTAAAACAATTTAAAAACAGCAATATCAAAGACCAAAGGCCTGTCGAAACAGGTATGTCTTCCATGCCCTGCAGAAAGCTGATAAGTCCCGCAAGGCACAGACTTCAGGTGGCAGAGTATTCCAGAGTGATGGTGCCACTGCTGTGAAGGCTCTGCGTCTGGTTGCTGTTAGACGCAAGGTCTTGACACTGGGGACTTCCAATAGATCTTGGTCCTCAGAACGGAGGGATCTCTGGGGTTGGGAGGGGGTGAGACGATCCCTCAGATACATTGGCCCCAGACCATGCAAGGCCTTAAAGGTGAGTACCATCACTTTGAAAGTGATCCGGTGCTCAATTGGTAACCAATGCAGCTGTAGTAAGATTGGTGTTATGTGGCATCTCATTGGAATTCCCGCAAGAAGCCGAGCAGCTGCATTTTGTACCAACTTGAGCTTCCGGAACACCGACAGAGGAAGGCCAATGTAGAGGGCATTACAGTAGTCCAGTCTTGAGATGACCGTGGCCTGGATCACCATAGCTAGGTCGTCCCTGGACAGGGAGGGGGCCAGCCGTCTAGCCTGCCGCAGGTGAAAGAAGGCGGTTCTGCTAACGGCGGAGACCTGGGCCTCCATTGTCAGCAGAGGGTCCAAAAGGACTCCCAGACTCTTTACCAATGATGACGGGCGTAGCGCCTCGCCATCCAGGGTAGGCAGCTGGATATCCCCACTGCCCGGTTGACCCAGCCATAGGATCTCCGTCTTTGCTGGATTCACCCTCAACCTGCTGGCACGCAGCCATCCAGTCACGGCCTCGAGGCACTGATGGAAACAATCGGGTACAGAGTCCGGTCGGCCTTCCATCTTCAGCACCAGCTGAGTGTCATTGGTGCACTGGTAACACTCAAGCCCAAAATCTCGAGCCAGCTGAGCAAGTGGTCGCATAGAGATGTTAAACAACAGAGGGGAGAGAATGGCCCCCTGAGGAACCCCACAAGAGAGAGGGACCTCTCAGAGACCAGGCCTCCCCTCTCCACTCGCTGTCCACGGTTGTGAAGGAAGGAGGGGAGCCAGTTTAAAGCTCTCCCCCTGACTCCAGCAACAGCAAGATGGTGCGTCAAAATATTGTGGTCGACTGTGTCAAATGCTGCTGTGAGATCCAATAACACAAGCAGCGCTGACCCGCCCTGGTCAAGCTGGCATCGAAGGCGATCCGGGATGGAGACCAGAACAGTCTCTGTCCCGTGCCCCTCACGGAAGCCAGATTGGAAGGCCAGTCATGGGCAAACTTGAGCCCTCCAGGTGTTTTGGACTTCAGCTACTACAATTCCTAACAGCTTACCAATGTAGAGGACGTAAGAGGGAGACTCAAAGGCTCAAAGGTCTGGAGACCATGAATCGCTCTGAGGAGTGTCTTAAAGAGCTGGGTCTGTTCAGCCTCCAGAAGAGAAGGTTGAGAGGAGACATGAGAGCTATGTATAAATATGTGAAAGGGTGTCATAAGGAAGAGAGGACAGGCTTGTTTTCTGCTGCCCTGGAAACTAGGACTCAGTGTAGCCATGGGTTCAAATGACAACAGAGGAGATTCCACTCCCAGAACTTCCTGACCGTAAGAAGATATGTTCAACAGTGGAACTCTGCCTCAGAGTCCATTGGAGTCTCCTTCCTTGGAGGCTTTTAAACAGAGGCTGGATGGCCACCTGTCAGGGATACTTTGTGCTCTTTCTGCATGGAAGAAGGAGTTGGACTAGATGTCCCATGTGGTCTCTTCCCACTCTATGATTCTATGATAAAGATCTCCTGTCTCTGGTAACTAATTTGGGACCAAAGGTGCTGAAGATTTATTATCAGCTTTCTGGTGAAAAAGGGAAACAGGATCTGGCTGATTTCATTCCCTCCCTGTATGCCTACCTGGCATGGTACTGGAGGTCGTGCATGTTCTCCTCCTGGTCGTCCAGGAAGGAGGAGATGTTGTCCAGCTGCAGCTGCAGACTCATCACTTGTAGGGCCAAGTCGTGCATCCCTTCTGAGTTCTGGCCGATCCGCTGTGAGGCAATGCCCAGGCCGCTCTGGAGGCTCTTGACCAAGTCCCCAGTTTTGGCCGAGGTGGCCCTCAGGCTGCTGAAGAGGCGGGTGTAGTCCTGCCACTCTGCCACCATCCTCTGCAGGGTCAGGGTCTCCTCCTCAGTCTTGCGCTGGATGGCCCGCAGCCACTCAGAGGCCTGCTCTGAGGAGAAGTTCATATGTTGGACGGCCGCCTGTGTGATGGATAAATATAATGATATGGTTTGAATGGAGCTGTATGAAAGGAGTATGAATGAGGCACAATTGGGCCGAAGTGTTGTGGCTGAGATGTTCTCTGATGATGAGGATGATGGGATTCAGATTCCTGGCTCTTTTTCTGTGCCTCAGAGCTCTGGGCCTGCTTCTAGGTCTTTTTCTGAGGCCACAGACAGTGCAGAGTCAGACAGTTCAGAGTCAACACAGAATTTTAACGAAGGAGATAGCGAACAGGTGGGGAGGCATTTGCCTCCTTCCCATGCTGATACTGAAAGTACAGAAAGCCTTGACAGTGACCTGACCCGGCAAGCTCGTCTTGATTTGCGGGTCAGGCGGAGTTCTCGCCTGGCCAGCAGACGAGAAGCCAGCTCGGGGAAAGGTCATTGCAATGCTTTCATGTTAGAAAGGTATTTAGGCTTATTGTAAACTAAGAGAGAGCGTCAGTTCAACGTAGCTTATTAGCCTGAAAGCTTCATGGAATAACCTTAGCCTGGAAAGCAGCACGCTTGGGATTTCTTGCATTGTGATTCTTGGGGCAATTGTTTCATTGCTTGTACCTTGGACTCTGGTTTGAACCTTGCCTATAGGATTGTGCCTCTTGTTTTTACCTGAAGATCTTTGGAACTATATTCTGCATTTAACCTAAATCTTTGGAACTTTGCAATGCTTATTCTTTATTTTGACTTGGATTTTTTCCTCAGTAAACTATAAAACTACAGCTCTTGTGTGGTGGTGTTTGGAAGCAAGGTGAAGCTTACTCTGAGTTGCAACATGAAGTTACAGTTCTAAAATATTGAGGTCTGGAAAACAACTATATGCAGGAACTGTAATTAAAAGTTGCTAGACCAGAGACAAATGATTAACTGATTAACTCTTGGCAGAAACATGTTTTCATATTCAAAGGCAATGGCTCGTTTAAGTTAAGGAAGCCAACATCTGTTAAGAAGGAAGTCAACACAAGGCTCCTTATATGTACCAACACCAATTAAGGAGAGTCAACATCTGCCAGGAACTGATGGGAATCAACATGTTTCAGGCTGGAAAAACATCTATCATTCATTTTACAACTTTGGAACAACATCGGCAAGAAATATTGCTATATAAGAGACCTTATTACAACCCAAAAATTGTGGCAGACTGGAGGAGTCTGGCCCACCTGCCATGCTCTGCTCCATGGGAAGGGGAGAGATGATGTATTTGCAGGGTGATTGATCTGCAATGGAAAGAAGAGTCTGGTTGCTGACTTTCTCAGGTTGGAAGGAATGAGTTTTGGAAAAGTATTGTGTGTATTTGGGAGAGTGGTAGATCCGCCATGGAAAGTAGTGCCTGGTCACTTGCTTCATTCTCAGAGGAAGGGAAAGGATGTGTTTTGGAGTTTTGGGAGTATTGAAAGTATTGGGAAAGTGGCAGATTGGCAGGGAAGCAATTTGGCCTAAGAGGTATTCTTCTCCATGAGATAATGGAAGAAGAAAGGTGATGTATGCATGCTGATGAATAAATGTTTATATGAGTGTGAATGTTGAGTAAAAATGTAATTCCCCTTTGTGTTGTCGAAGGCTTTCATGGCTGGAATCACTGGGTTGCTGTAAGTTTTTCGGGCTGTGGCCATGTTCCAGAAGCATTCTCCCCTGACGTTTTGCCTGCATCTATGGTAGGCATCATCAGACCTCACAAGCTCTGAGGATGCCTGGCATAGATGCAGGTGAAACATCAGGAGAGAATGCTTCTAGAACATGGCCATACAGGCCAAAAAACTTACAGTAACCCAGTAATTCTCCTTTGTTTGTTAGCCAGTGTAGCTGTAGGTCAGTGGTTCTCAACCTGTGGGTCCTTCAAGGGCGGCTCATCCATTACACGAAGTAAGTGGTCGCAGAACACTTTTTTTTTGCCAGGGGCGCAGAGGCGCCTCTGTAAATGCCCCTTCACTGCCACTTGAGGAGCGCCCCCTCAGCTCACAACAGCCCTAGCAGTCCGGGGGAGCCTCGGCTTTCTTGCCTTGCTGCCGGGCGATCCTCTTCCCAAAGGGGCCGGGCCCTTGAGCCTCGCCTAGCCCCTCTCATTCCTGCTCCACCCGGCCACCGGGTGCGCGAGCAGAGCCGGCACTCAATCGTTCTCCGCGTTCGATCCCTTCCCCATGACCGGCTCCCTTTCCCGATCCCCCGGTGCTCCTCCCGCCTCCTCTCCTCTCCTCTCCCCAATCTGCGGGTGGGCCAAGGGGCGGAGCCGCCGCGCCTGGCCTGCTTTGGGTCCGGAGGCGTGTCTGAAGACCCCAGCGTGCGCACCAAAAGTCGCCTCTTCTCCTGACTTTCTCTTCAGCCATTGGGACCGAGAGAGAGAGAGAGAGAGAGAGAGCCCCTCCGGCTGGAGGTATCTCCCACCTCCGCTCCCTCCTTTGTTTTTGCGCCTACCTTCAGGAAAGGTGGGCATCTCCACCTCTTTCTCTCTCTCTCTTGGTCCCAATGGCTGAGGAGAAAGTCAGGAGAAGAGGTGACTTTTGGTGCACAGCCGGGGTCTTCAGGCACGCCTCCGGACCCAAAGCGGGCCAGGCCAGGGAGCAAGTGCGGCAAGTGTAGTTACTGGGATGTATAGTTCACCTACAATCAAAGAGCATTCTGAACTCCACCAGAATGGAGATGGAATTGAACCAAATATAGCACACAGAACTCCCACGACAAACAGAAAATATATATCAATGATTGGTTGGGGGGCACCAAAATACTGTTTGCTTACCGTTGAAAATTACCTAGGGCCACCTCTGGGGTCCCTAGATGTTTTGGCCTACAACTCCCATAAATCCCAGCCAGTTTACTAGCTGTTAGGATTTCTGGGAGTTGAAGGCTAAAACATCTGAGGACCCACAGATTGAGAACCACTGCTGTAGGTTGTTTGTGTATCCAATGTAGCTATAGAGCAGGCATAGTCAAACTTTGGCCCTCTAGGTGTTTTGGCCGTCAACTCCCTGGAGAGAGGGCCAAAGTTGGCCCATGCCACAGGTAGAGTCTGTGTGCCAACTCTCTTGCTCTGTGTTGCTCTGTGGTAATACAAAATAAAATAACTTTTTTAATGCTTTTTAGACTTTAACAAGTATCCATGATACCTGGATGTCGAAGCACTCCTCCAAAAGTTCCTTCAAGGAGCCACCCAGCTCTGCAGAGACGGCCTGCCAGCCCCGCACCTGCGCCAGGTAGAGGCCCAGGCTCTGGTTGACCTGCTGCAGGGCCAAGAAGCAAGCGTCCACCTCCTCGGTCAGCTTGTTGCTGGCCGAGGTCAGCTGCCGGTGGGTCTGCCCGGCCCGGTCCAGCAAAGCCTCTTGGGCCAAGAGTTTCTTCTGGATCTCCTCCAGCCCTGCTTGTAGTTTGCTGATTTCAAGCCCGATCTGAGCCGTTTCGTGGCACAAGGAGCAGTTGCCAGCAGATTTCTGGTCTGGACAGAGAGAAAGCGGGGTCAGAATGGGATACATCCACATTGTAGAAAAATGGAGAAATCCAAGAAAGGGGTGACAGGAAAATTTTTTATAAATAGATCCACTTTTTCCCCATCCAAAAATATCTTTGTGGAAACTAAAGACATTTTTGTGGTTCTGTGGTTCCACATGACACTGGTGTACGTGTCCCCTTTTTCTTGTGCGTGTCACCTCAAGTGGTGCCTGGATGGTGCTTGCATACCCCGGAAATTCCTCTTGTGTCACCCCTAAAATCCAGACCTTTGCCAGGCCACTTTGATCATTTTTTTATTAATTGGATTCCTTTTTATGAATGAACTTCCTTTTTTATTAATGGATTTTGGCTGCTCAGCACCTTTATGGACTTTATGCCTTCCCTTATGGACTCCAGATGACAAGGATCAATTTTTCCCCAATCCTGCATGCTCCTCTTTTCCCTTGTGAACTCTGCATATGCCCCATATCCCCAATTATTATATATCTGTCTGTATAAAATATTGAGCAAGGTGAACTTTTTGTGACCAGCAGCTCAGGACCCCAGGTATTGCAAGACTTCCTGGGTCTTCATCCTTAATCAATTGACTTTTCAGAAACTCCCCAACATGGACAACAGACAAATGCCCCCAAGTTATTGACTAGGCCACCCATGTATTGGGAGCCCATGGACATGTTAATCATTCCTCACAGACATTTCCCAACCAAGAGGGGAAGGGAATGTCACAATTTCTCTAACAAAGCTGTTCCCCTTTCCAGAAGAATTGTTGGGGTTCAGCCTGATCCTGATCTGTGTGAACCGGATTCTCTGATAGTTTTTCCAACTGAGCAAGCTCTCCCTGACTCTGACAGTGTGGAATCTGTTGTTGATGCAGAGGTCAGCGGGGATGAAAATGAAACTCAGCAGCTGGAGGAAAATGTTTTGGAAGCTAGCCGTGATATCACTAGCCGTGATATCTCTCCACCTGGGGTTTTTAATGAGGACAGAAGAGAACAGATAGTTAGAGACAGAAATATTTCCCAGTTTCTACGAAGGTCAAATCGTTTACAGGAGAGACAGGCCCAGGCTCCAAAGTCAAGGGGCGTTTCAAAGAATACCTTCTTTGGTTTAAGAGGCCTCCTGCCGGGTGCCTCTTTAGATCAAGCAACGTTTGGGACTGTGGCTGTGCCTTGGCAGAATTCCTGTGTTCCATGGCCAGTAATCCCAGAGGCTTGTAGTTATCAAGTTCATGGTTAGTAAAAGGCTAACAGGTTCCTGGTTCTTGTATTGTGGCTTTTGAAATTTTGCTCAAGTTCAGAGATTCTACTGACTGCTGTGTTTTTCTGTGGCTTTTTGACTTTGCATTTGCCTTTCTTTTGTAACCAATTTTTCATCAATAAACAAGGATTGCTTTTCCTACAGTCCAGTGTGGTGGATTTAATCTTATGGTCTCGTTTCTTGAACTGGGATGCAACAAGAATGGATCCAGAAGATCCCATCAAGAAAACCAGTATCACTGTACTTTTGACAATGGGTTGGCCCTGAGGGGCCAGACAGAAATGTTATTTCAAAACTCTGCATCAATAGCTAGGTCGGGCTTGAGGGCTTACAGCAATCGCTTCGATTGCTTGCCAATAAGGTCTGGGATGGGCCATTCATAATCCTATTATCAAGCCACTATTTTCCTTTGTTTTACTGTTGCCGTGCCTCCTTACACACCATTTGCTGAGCGGCCGAAGTAGGGCTCGGGCTCTCATTGGACGAGCTGCACTGGCTCCCAGCCGCTCTGCCTCGTTCGCTGACTTTACAGCCAATCACAGCAAAGTCAGCTCAGGGGGCAGGCGTGGGAAATTTGAATGGGAAAAACTGTATATATTGAATAGTTCCCTGCACAGGAGTTATGCCAGCTCCTTTGCAGATTACTGCAGTCATCATCCTTTCCAGCTGGAATAGAAAATAAACTTCAGTGGCCTTGCTTCAACCTGGTGAGATTTATTGGGAAAACTTCTATTGGTGCTTATTGTCTCACCAGGTGTTGCGAACCCTCCTTTTGGGTCTTCACTGGTCCCTGCTCAGGGTTGTTGTTCATTCGTTCAGTCATCTCCGACTCTTCGTGACCTCATGGACCAGCGCACGCCAGAGCTCCCTGTCGGCCGTCACCACCCCCAGCTCCTTCAGTCAGTCCAGTCACTTCAAGGATGCCATCCATCCATCTTGCCCTTGGTCGGCCCCTCTTCCTTTTGCCTTCCACTTTCCCCAGCATCATTCCCTTCTCTAGGCTTTGCTGTCTCCTCATGATGTGGCCAAAGGACTTCAACTTTGTCTCTAGTCTCCTTCCCTCCAATGAGCAGCCGGGCTTTATTTCCTGGAGGATGGACTGGTTGGATCTTCTCGCAGTCCAAGGCACTCTCAGCACTTTCCTCCAACACCACAGCTCAAAAGCATCGATCTTCCTTCGCTCAGCCTTCCCTAAGGTCCAGCTCTCACATCCGTAGGTTACTACAGGGAATACCATGGCTTTGACTAGGCGGATCTTTGTTGCCAGTCTGATGTCTCTACTCTTTACTATTTTATTGAGATTGGACATTGCTCTCCTCCCAAGAAGTAAGCGTCTTCTGATTTCCTGGCCACAGTCTGCATCTGCAGTAATCTTTGCACCTAGAAATACAAAGTCTGTCACGGCCTCCACATTTTCTCCCTCTATTTCCCAGTTGTCAATCATTCTTGTTGCCATAATCTTGGTTTTTTGATGTTTAGCTGCAACCCAGCTTTTGCGCTTTCTTCTTTCACCTTGATTCAAAGGCTCCTCAGCTCCTCCTCGCTTTCGGCCATCAGAGTGGTGTCATCTGCATATCTGAGGTTGTTAATGTTTCTTCCAGCCATTTCACCCCAGCTTTGCATTCCTCAAGCCCCGCACATCGCATGATGTGTTCTGCATACAAGTTAAAAAGGTTGGGTGAGAGTCTGCAGCCTTGCCGTACGCCTTTCCCAATCTTGGACCCATCTGATGTTCCATGGTCAGTTCTTGCTGTTGCTCCTTGGTCCTTGTACAGATTCCTCAGGAGAGAGGGAAGGGGGCTTGGGATGCCCATCCCACCAAGAACTTGCCACAATTTATGATGATCCACACAGTCAAAGGCTTTAGAATAGTCAATGAAGCAGAAGTAGATGTTTTTCTGAAACTCCCTGCTCAGGGAGGACCCCTTAAATCAGTGTGCTGCTTCATTAATAGGGATATTGTATTATTGTTGAGTGTCACTAACATGCATAATAAATTAATAAATAAATTCAAGAATGCGTCCTTGCATTATTATCCATTGCTTTGAAAGTTGGCTTTTTCATCCTTTGTCCTTGAGTCCATTTACTTAGGACGGCCCTGTTAAGCTATTTATTTGTTTTGACAAATGTCTATTTTCTTTTTGTCCTGACCATGAGTCAGAAAAAAATGTCCTGATTTATTTTTTTTATTTTTTTGCAGAGGCCTGTAAAATCCACACTGGCCCCAAAATGCCTACGGTTTTGCTGACGGACAACAAAACTTTCTCAATGACTCATTTGCTTGTTTGGCAGGAAAGATTTGTTATTTTAATTTTTTGCTCAGCAATTAAGCCCAGGTCTGGTGCTTTCCTGGATTACATTTCCCCTGTTTTGCCATTTTATCAATTTCCTCTTATTTACCGATTCTGCAAAAAAGTTTCCACCTACTTTCTGCAATCTGGTGCCTTCCAGATGTGGCTCTGGGATGATGGGGTTTGTAATTCAACACATCTGGAAGGCTCCAGATTGGGGAAGCTGGTGGAAATTTCACTTCTGAGTAAAGCTACAGGATTGTTGTTATTATTTGATACACAACAAGATGAGTACACAGCAAACAAGATTACTCTGCTGGCTGATGTATTGGATCACACGATATCAAAGTGGCCCCCCCCCCCCCCCAGGAGTCTGTAAAAGATAGTTCAAAACCAAGGAATTCATAGTTTTGCCAAGGACACCAGGCTGGAATGATCCCATAATCCCCTATCTTGGGAATCTAAGGCTCTTTCCATGGCCCCCCCCCATGGCAATGCCCCTGTAACCCACACTTTATGGACTTTCTATGAACTTTTAGAAACCTTTAATCAACTTTTCATGGACTTTGGAACTCTTATGGACCCTATACCAAACCCTTATGAACTTTTATGATATTTCATTGATCTATATCAGTGAAACATCATAAGCACCGGGATAGCACCGGGATTGTGGCGCAGCTGGCTGAGTGTCAGCTGCATTAAAGATCACTCTGACCAAAAGGTCATGAGTTCGAAGCCAGCCCGGGTTGGAGTGGGTTTCCAACCAATTGTGTGTAGCCTGTTGTCGACCTTTGCAACCCGAAAGACAGTTGCATCTGTCAAGTAGGAAAATAAGGTACCACTTTGTGTGGAAGGCTAAGTTAACTAATTTATGAGACCATAAAGAAAACTCCAGGATGTGGAATGAGGAAGAACTTCATCGGTGTTGCTGATGGACGATGAAAGCAGCAGCTCCCCTGGCGGCCAGAAAAAGTTAAATAGCCTCTGTGTATTTATTTATTTATTTATTTATTTATTTATTTATTTATTTACTGCATTTATATGTCGCCCTTCTCACCCCGAAGGGGACTCAGAGCGGCTTACAAGTCATAAGTACATACAACATACTACATAATACATAACTAGCATAGTACTATAACATCATTCATAACACTAGTACTACATAATATTACATTATTGCTAGGGGAGGGGCGCTAATGTCACAGGGGACAAGATGGCAATGTCCTCCATTGTTATTGTCTGTATTCGTTGTCTGTCAAACTGGCAGTGAATGTTTGCCATATATGTGTATACTGTAATCCGCCCTGAGTCCCCTGCAGGGTGAGAAGGGCGGAATATAAAAACTGTAAATAAATAAATAAATAAATAAATAAATAAATGAACCTTTGATGGACTCTGGAGGGAGGGAGGGCCTGCATGATTCCCTTTGCAGTTTGCATGATTTTACCCTTATGAACCCCTTGTATGTTCCCCATTTCCTATATCCCTGTATGAAATATGAAGAAATGCCACTTTTCATAAACCCAGCACCTCATGGCTTCAGGAAGCTTTTTTCTCATATCCTGGGCCAGCTAGACTCACCAAAAACTCTGCATGAATGGTAAAACAATGGGCTCTTATTTCCTCAGACCTTGGAGAGTCAAAGACTAGCGCATCTGGGATTTAGGATCTATGGACAATTTAATCGCCCTTTCATAAAGGAGACATCCTGCCTGAGAGGGATTAGTTTTTACCACAGCTCCTTTTCCATTGAATCAATTCCTCTAGCCGATACCAGTCTCAAATATTATCTACCAATCCCATATCCACGACCTAAGGACAACAAAAGGGTCTGGCTTTTGAGTCAGACCAAGATGTATTCTCCAGGAACTTACACTAGGGAAAAGCTATCGCTGGCAATTATACAAACATTAGTCACTTAATCCTGTCATCTTTTCCTCCCAGTTCATTGTTTCCACCCAGACCGCATCCTCTCTTCCCATTGGCCGAGAGGCCGAAGCGGCGCTGGCTCACTGATTGGCTAAGGCGCAGCTAAGCCAGCCACGCCTCCCAGCCAACTGATGACTCCATCCAATCAGTGCGAAGCTGGTGAGGGGGGCGGGAGCAGGAAATTTGAATTTGACAGCTCTGTTTCCTCTATATAAACTGTATTGTTTTGCCTTGTTGGTAATGTCAGCTCCTGGGCAAATGATTGTGGTTGACATCCATTCCAGCTTGAATGAAATAAACATCTCAGTGGCATTTTCTTCAACTTGGTGGGGTTTATTGGAAAAATAGAGAAATTTCTTTCAGGGGCTTTCTATCTCGCCAGGGTTAACGGATCCTCTTTGTTGAGTCTGGCCAATCTCTGCCTTCAAAGCAGGGCCTCCCAAATTTGTGTTTGACTTCACCATGTCGGACACTTCCCAAGTGCCTAGGACTGTGTGCAGATTCCAGTAGGGTGGCCTTTTGCAGCTGACAGATGATAATTTTGTCAGTGGTGATTGTTTTTAAGTGCAGGCCAAGGTCTTTAGGCACTGGACCCAGTGTGCTGATCACCACTGGGACCCCCTCGACTGGCTTTTGCCAGAGTCTTTGCAGTTCAATCTTTAAATCCTAGTATAGTGCCAGCTTTTCCAGTAGCTTATTATTGTATTACCTCACTTTTCTTTCTAGATCAGATATCATCATCATCATCATCATCATCATCATATTTGTACCTCACTTTTCTCTGGATCACGTCTTATTATTATTCCACTTTTCTATCTAGATCAGATATTATTATTATTATTATTATTATTATTATTATTATTGTGTTTTTGGAGACTTTCATGGCTGGAATCACTGGGTTGCTGTGAGTTTTTCATGCTGCATGGCAATTTTTCCAGCAGCATTCTCTCCTGACGTTTTGCCTGTATCTGTGGCTAATGGCATCTTCATAGGATTTGATGGGAGTCAAGTAAGTGGAGTGTGGAACAATGTCGAGAAGGGAGGAAGAACCCTTGTCTGTTGAAAGCAAGTGTGAATGTTGCAATTAGCAAGCTTGAATTAGCACTGAATAGCCATGAAGCTGCAAAGTCAATTAGTGAGGATATCTGCATAGAGATAGCCTGGCCTTTGTTGTTTGGAGGCATCCTCTGTTTGGGAGGTGTTAACAGGCACTTGGATTTTGTTCATTTTCATGGTTTCCTCCTTTCTGTTGAAATTGCTTACATGCTTGTGGATTTCAATGGCTCCCAAACAAAGGGTGCTTCCAGGCAACAGAGGCCAGGCTACCTCTATGCAGATACCCTCTTTGATTGACTTGACAAACTTCATGGCTATTCTGCTAATTCAAGCTTGCTTTTTGCAACATTCACACCTGCTTCAAACAGACAAGGGTTCTTTCTCCCATCCTGGACATTCCACACACACACACATATATATACACTCCTCTTGCCTCACCTCCAACAGTCCTTTGAGGATGCCATTAGCCACTGATGCGGTTGAAATGTCAGGAGATAATGCTGCTGAAACATGGCCATACAGCCCAAAAAACTCACAGCAACCCAGAAGCTGTTAATGTTTGCCCATGATGCTGGCCAGGACTCCAAAGCCCATCCGCCTGGTGGTGGAAGTCTATTTTGCTGCAAGCTTTATGGAAAGCAGCCTCTGTGTGCATGGAGCATACCCGAGGCGGTGGCTTCGTTGTTCCTACCTAGTTCCTGGAGGTTCCCTTGGACCGAACTCAGCATCTTCTCATAGTAGGCCTGAGTGGAGTCAACGTCGCCAGCGATGGAGTCCACCTTTTTGAAAACTGCAAGGAAGAGACCCCAAATCAGCATCTTTACAAATAAATCAACTAAAATATAGCGTTGTCGTTGAGCACGATAACCTCCTCTTCAAAAGATTTACAGTTCACCAAGGGCTCAGAAATAATCAAGCATGAGCAAACTTTGGCCTTCCAGGTGTTTTGGACTTCAGCTCCCACCGGCTGTTAGGAATTGTGGGAGTTGAAGTCCAAAACACCTGGAGAGACAAAATTTGCCTATGTCTGAGCTATATGTTTCACTTAAAGCTGAGAGGTTGCTGCTTACAAGAACAGGGGCTTATAATGTGTTTGTGTTAAGCCTGTAGGTTGACAGCCAAGCTAATAATAATAATAATAATAATAATAACAATATGATATTATAATTATATATTTTATATTGCGTGTAATATTACAAAATAAGGGTATAGTACAATATAGCAATATATAATACTGATATTGTACTATGCGACTGTTGAATTCGTTGCTTATGACTTTGTAAGTAATAAGCTGTTGAAATGTTTCCATCATTCGTCGAATCTGGTCTGCACTGTACTTTGACCACAATCTGACCAGTTTTGCTTGAGCTGCAAGGGGTAGCTTACTCATCGCTTTACAAAACAATGGCAATGCCATTTCCAGGTTGTATATAAGCTGCTATATATCTTGTAGTCATTTGGGTTTGCAGTGCTCTTGAGTCCCCTTCGGGGTGAGAAGGGCGGCATATCAATGTCGCAAATAAATAAATAATTTTTGAGTACCCAAATCATAGAATCATAGAGCTGGAAGAGACCTCATAGGCCATCCAGTCCAACCCCATTCCGCCAAGAAGCAGGAAAATCACATTAAAAGCACCCCCAACAGACGGCCATCCAGTCTCTGTTCAAAAGCCTCCAAAGAAAGAGCCTCCACCACACTCCGGGGCAGACAGTTCCACTGCTGAACAGCTCTCACGATCAGGAAGTTCTTCCTAATGTTCAGGTGGAATCTCCTTTCCTGAAGTTTGAAGCCATGGCTCCATTGACCACATATCTATACGCAAACATACATATACACATATACACATATACACACACACACAAACACATATACACAGACTGGGCCACAGCAACACGTGGCAGGGGACGGCTAGTCATTAATAAAGATGATCAATCTCTCTGTCTTCCACCTTTGCTTTCTGAAGCTCCTATCTTTGTTTGGCACAGAACTCGCCATTTGAGCTCATCAGAAGCCCATCAACACATCTTTACCATTTGTTTTCCCCAGACTGTGCCCTCTTCAGCTGAGTGGTCCTCCTCTCTGACCAATCCCTGGCCACCATTCTCTCTCCCAGATAATCATAGAATCATAGAATCCTAGAGTTGGAAGAGACCTCCTGGGCCATCCAGTCCAACCCCATTCTGCCAAGAAGCAGGAATATTGCATTCAAATCACCCCTGACTGATGCCCTTACTGTGGGAGAACATGCGAATCAAGAATAGGGCTCCACAGTCACCTACGGACCCACCACCAGGACACCGATCTTAGAAGACAATCTTACTCAGACAATGAGGGATCACCTAAGTAAGTGTCACATATTCATGACTCAGCTTCTTTCGCATGTCCCTTAAGTTACATGTCATCCCTTAAGTTCCATGCCACTTAACCCTTCAGCAGATGAGTGATCACATATCCATTAGAACTGTATTTTCCACTGACGTTTCACAATAGGGTTACAGTCAATGCATTCCTTTCTAACAGTGCATTACTATTTAACAGAGAATTGCATTTCCAGTCCATGTACCAGCAGGCTTATATAGGAAGAATACAGCCTCCAAGATGAACCAAGTAGTGATTCCAGGTTTGGACTAGACAGATGGCCACCCAGCCTCTGTTTCAAAGCTTCCAAAGAAGGAGCCTCAGCCACACTCCGGGGCAGAGAGTTCCACTGCTGAATGGCTCTCACAGTCAGGAAGTTCTTCCTCATGTTCAGATGGAATCTCCTGGCTTGGATCCTATCCGGTCTCTTTTCTGGCCAATCAGCTATCAGAACTGTAAAAGATAGCTTGTATTTCTCTGTATCTTTCTGCTTGCACGTTTTGAAGCAAAATTGCTGTACTTGCATCCCTTTTGGGCAAATTGAAACAAACCTCTGTGAGCTGTTTTCAGTTTGGTGAGATGGTTTCTCTGTCCTGGTCTATCTGGTTTTTAGCATATGGCTCGCCAGGCACGGATCCTCTTTAACTGCGGTCCTAGCTCTAAATTCTACTGCATAATGACAATCAATGGGATGAGACACTTAAAATACAGCACATTTAAGCCCTTTAAACTGAGATGATCCTGGGAGTTGTAGTTTGGCAACAGAACCCATGAGGAGAGAATGCAAAAGACCTGGGATTCCATAACACTGTGTCATGGCAATTAAATTGGTGTCAAACTGCATTCATTTTGCAGTGTAGATGCACCCGGTGTTTGCCAAACGTAGGTGTTTTGGACTTCATCTCCCAGAATCTCCCATAATTAGCCCAAGGAAGCTGAGGCTTCTGTGAGTTGTAGCATGAAATGCCTGGAGGACTGATCACAAAGCTTTGGGATGGAAAAAGGACTCCAAATGATTACTCTTTGCAGCAAAAGGCCAATCCTCTATTTCAGCGGTTCTCAACATGGGGATCGCCACCCCCAGAGGGGGTCGTTGGGCCATTTTCCGGGGGATGCAAATTTGCCTCGGTTGGCCCCGCCCCCTCTGCCTCTCCAAAATGGCTGCTGGCCCCTGTGTGAACCAAACAGCCAGGTGCTCCTGGTTGGTTCCTTCTCCTCATCCCACAGGGCTGCAGGGAGTCAGGAGAAGGAGCTTGGAGGCAAAGGCGTGCGTGGGAGAAAGCATGCCATTCGGCCCATGCCCCCTGCTGAGCTCAGAAGGGGCGAGGGTTGAGCAGAAGGCTCTCCACCTGGCCAGGTCACCCCGGGAGCCTTTGCCGCTTAGTCCTCGCCCCTGCCAAGCTCAGAAGGGGCGAGGGGCAAGTGCAAGGCTCCCCACATGGCCAGGCCATCCAGGGAGCCTTTGCCACTCCCCTCTCGCCCCCGTTAAGCTCGAAATTTGGGCATATTGAGTATTTGTGCCAAGTTCTGTCCAGATCCATAGTCATTTGGGTTCACAATGCTCTCCGGATGTAGGTGAACTACATCTACTGTAAACCACTGTCAATTCTTCCCAATCCCCTCCAGTATTTTCTGTTGATCATTGGGGTTCTGTGTGCCAAGTTTGGTCCAGGTCTGTAATTTGTGGGGGGGTCTCAAAGGTCTGTTGAAGGTACTGCAGATCGCATCATTAGTTGTCCATATTCCCCCGAATGTATTGTTTTTGTGATTTTTTTTGTTGTGTCAGGGCAACCAGTCAATTGTATTACATTTCTAACAGAACAAAACAAACAAACAGACAAAATACAAAATTTGCGAGTTTGGTAGTGGATTAGATGTCCTTTGACCAGTATCTGGCCCCTAAAGAGTGCCTCTGGTTTACTATAAGAAGGTCCTCCCTTGTGCATGTGGCAGGGCTCAGGGTGCATTGCAGCAGGTGGTCAGTGGTTTGCTCTTCTCCACACTCGCATGTCATGGATTCCACTTTGTGGCCCCATTTCTTGAGGTTGGCTCTGCATCTCGTGGTGCCAGAACGCAGTCTGTTCAGCGACTTCAAAGTCGCCCAGTCTTCTTCTGTGTGACCAGGGGGGAGTCTCTCATTTGGTATCAGCCATTGATTGAGGTTCTGGGTTTGAGCCTGCCACTTTTGGACTCTCGCTTGCTGAGGTGTTCCAGCGAGTGTCTCTGTAGATCTTAGAAACTATTTCTTGATTTAAGTCATTGACATGCTGGCTGATACCCAAACAGGGATGAGCTGGAGATGTCTCTGCCTTGGTCCTTTCACTATTGGCTGCTACTTCCCGGCGGATTTCAGGTGGTGCAATACCGGCTAAGCAGTGTAATTTCTCCAGTGGTGTAGGGCGCAGACACCCCGTGATAATGCGGCATGTCTCATTAAGAGCCACATCCACTGTTTTAGTGTGGTGAGATGTGTTTTACACTGTGATAAATCACTATGCTTTAATTATGTTCAATTTGTAACAATGAAAATACATATCAAGATATTTACATTACAATTCATAACAGTAGCAAAATTACCGTTATGAAGTAGCAACGAAAATATGGTTGGGGGTCACCACAACTTAATTTAGGGGCCACGACATTAGAAAGATGGAGAACCACTGCTCTATTTATTTTGATGAACTAAACTGGTCAAAGCCCCAGATTAGGATAATTGAGAGAAAAGGACTAGCTGAAGGCTAGGTCTGAAACCGAGGAAGGAAAGTACAAGATCATAGTTAGGATTCTGCAACTATCCCAGGGCATTGGGATGCCAAATTGGGTGGGATAGCCAATACTTCAGAGGACAGGAGCAGGATTCAAAATGATCTTGACAGATTAGAGAGATGAAGGGCCAAAACTAACAAAATGAAGTTCAACAGGGACAAATGCAAGATACTCCACTTTGGCAGGAAAAACGAAATGCAAAGATACAGAATGGGGGACGCCTGGCTCGAGAGCAGTACGTGTGAAAAAGATCTTGAAGTCCTCATGGACAACAAGTTAAACATGAGCCAACAATGTGATGTGGCGGCAAAAAAAGCCAATGGGATTTTGGCCTGCATCAATAGGAGCATAGTGTCTAGATCCAGGGAAGTCATGCTACCCCTCTATTCTGCTTTGGTTAGACCACACCTGGAATATTGTGTCCAATTCTGGGCACCACAATTCAAGAGAGATATTTACAAGCTGGAATGTGTCCAGAGGAGGGCGACTAAAATGATCAAGGGTCTGGAGAACAAGCCCTATGAGGAGCGGCTTAAGGAGCTGGGCATGTTTAGCCTGAAGAAGAGAAGGCTGAGAGGAGATGTGATAGCCATGTATAAATATGTGAGAGGAAGCCACAGGGAGGAGGGAGCAAGCTTTTTTCTGCTTCCCTGGAGACTAGGACGCAATGGAACAATGGCTTCAAACTACAAGAGAGGAGATTCCATCTGAACATGAGGAAAAACTTCCTGACTGTGAGAGCCGTTCAGCAGTGGAACTCTCTGCCCGGAGTGTGGTGGAGGCTCCTTCTTTGGAAGCTTTTAAACAGAGGCTGGATGGCCATTTGTCAGGGGTGATTTGAATGCAATATTCCTGCTTCTCGGCAGAATGGGGTTGGACTGGATGGCCCATGAGGTCAATTCCAACTCTTTGATTCTATGATTCTATGATTGGTGCTGCTTTGAGCCCTCTTATTGGGAGAAATGTTTTCGTTCTAACCTCAGAATGCATTCATTCTCCAGCATCGGTGCCCTCTGTGTCTGCTGTTCTTCTCCTTGTTCCAGACTGAGTGCTTTGGGCAGAGACTGTTCTTTGCCGGGAAAGGTTGCTCAGATTTTTCCGGCAAAGAAGGGCGTTTTTGGGGTGTCTTTTTGCCAATTTCCTCCCCAGGAACTGCTTAGCAGGACTGTTTTCCTGCCCTGAAGCTTTCCATTGAATGGAGGTCCAGCAGCGCAACAGAGGGCTGGAATTACAGGCCGGTAAAAGCCAAGGAGAAAAAGGATCCTGTGCAAACTTTGGGTGCCATTTCCTTCTGGCCCCGAATCAAGAGCCACTCCTGCCTCCAAATGGGTTTCACAGCTTGGACTGAACAGCTTTCCAAAGGCTAAGGAAGAGACTGGCCTTCCTCCTCATTTATTTTTGGAAAGTTCCTTCGTGGTTGATAACAGAAACCATCAATTTTTTCACATGCTGCTTATGGTTTGTGTTGCTGAACAAAAACCAGCAGCGTGATGCTGCAGCAAAGAAGGCTCGTACTATTATTAAAACCGTTTCCCAGACAAGGTACCTTTAAATACCTGCAATGCAGGTCTACATTGTAGAATTAATGCTGTTTGGCCACACTTTAGTTGCCCTGGCTCAATGCAATGGAATTTGAGAACTGGAGTTTGGTGAAGGTCCAGCACTTTTGGGCAGAAAGAGCTTGCAAAACTACAACTCTCAGGTTACATTGCAAACAGCTATATCAGTTAAAGTGGTGTCAAGATGCATGTATTCTACAGTGTGGATGCACCCTTAATAAGTATCTTGGCACCTCAGGAAAACAGGTGCAAAGGCATCTTGACTAGAGTAAACCTGTTGAGTCCATAGTAGTTACCTGTGTGTCGTATTATCTGTCATAGGATGTAATAGGGAACATCCAATAGGAGTCATTATTATGGGTTGTTGTAGGTTTTTCGGGCTATAAGGCCATGTTCTAGAAGCATTCTCTCCTGACGTTTCACCTGCATCTATGGCAAGCATCCTCAGAGGTTGTGGGGTCATGATTATGACTATAGTTTTCTCTTATTGGTGTAACAAGTAGTGGTTCACAATGGGTTTCGGTGTTTACAATTTGTGGTCATGGTTCGAGGTTTTTTAAGATGTTGTAATGTGAACTTTTCAAAATTTCTGCCTATCTCAACATGCATCTCCACGTTAATGGAGTTTGATGCCACTTTAACTGCCCTGGCTCAATGCTATGAAATTATAGGAGTTGTAGTTTCACAAGACTTCACCACACAGGATAAGTAAAGCATTTGGGATAGTTGGTTTTCCCTTAAGCTTTGCAAAGCCCTGTTTGGAAGTTAAACAGATGATTTCCTTACCTACATCACGTCCTTCTCCTTTTCTCCACTTTCTGTAAGATTTATTGGTTTGATCACACAGTAAGACTTGTTTCCCACACCATCCCTTCTCCATTTTTTAAAAGATCCTTCTCTCTTTGTTCAACTTATAGTTAAAAAAACCTCATAACAACATATGTAGAGAGGTTATTCTTACGCTGCAGACTTAAAAACAGGAGGGAGGGGTGAAATGAAGCTTTAGCTCCGGTATATGTCTCTCTCTGCTAGCCTTTTGATAGGCAAAACAAAAGCCTGACAGTACAGCAGGAGTTTCAAAGAGGCAATTCAGAAAATAGTAAGAGTTCAAAAGGACTCACCCAATGCAGCCAGCACCACCACTGTGACCACTAGCAAGACGATGAAGAAGTAGAGGATTTTCACCGACGTTTGGAGCGTTAGTGTCTTCTCGCACTGGGTGCAATTGGTCCGCATCCGGCCTGGAGGAAGTAACAAAACATGAGCGATTTAGGGATAACTGGCAAGGCATTTACACCAAACATGAGCCGACTTGGACCCTCCAGGAGTTTTGGACTTCAACTCCCACCATTCCTAACAGCCTCAGGCCCTTTCCTTATCCCCCCTCAGCCGCTTAAGTGGCTGAGGGGGGAAAAGAAGGGACCTGAGGCTGTTAGGAATGGTGGGAGTTGAAGTCCAAAACACCCAGAGGGCCCAAGTTGGCCCATGCCTGATCTACACTGTAGAATAAAGGCAGTTCTTTAGCTCTTACCATTCGGCCTGTATCTAAACGGGGGCATCTCTTCTTCTTCTCCAGCTAAGTCGTCGTCTAAAAGATAAATAAGGTAAATAACAACAAATGCAGATGTCCACAAACTGAAGGAATCCTAGAATCCCAGGCTTGGAAGGGACCCCTTGAGGTCATCTAGTCCACCCTCTCTTCCCTCTGCATCATCCGAAAACTGTGCCCAATGTAGCATCAAAGGAAACGGATGTGTAAATGAGCACCCAACTACATGCTAACTTGGATCACTGTCCACCATCGTGCAAATAAAATAAAGTCTGTCGGTACTATAGTTTTACTAGTGTGAAATATAGTTGACAGTTTTTAAACTCTGGGTGTCCGATGTAGGACATCATGTTATGTAATGCTATGCAAGAGCTAAAGGCATAGAGGGATTTACTGCCTAGAGAGTGAACTGTGAGCTTTTCCTGTCATACATTCCAATGACGTGGATTTGAGATAACGGACTGCTGGGCATTCTCTTCTAGCCATAGAATCATAGAATCAAAGACTTGGAAGAGACCTCATGGGCCATCCAGTCCAACCCCATTCTGTCAAGAAGCAGGAATATTGCAATCACCCCTGACAGATGGCCATCCAGCCTCTGTTTCAAAGCTTCCAAAGAAGGAGCCTCCACCACACTCCGGGGCAGAGAGTTCCACTGCTGAATGGCTCTCACAGTCAGGAAGTTCTTCCTCACGTTCAGATGGAATCTCCTTTCTTATAGTTTGCAGCCATTATTTCGTGTCCTAGTCTCCAGGGAAGCAGAAAACAAGCCTAGAGAAGACAATGATGCTGGGGGAAATGGAAGGAAAAAGGGAGAGGGGCTGACCAAGGGCAAGATGGGTGGATGGCATCCTTGAAGTGACTGGAGTGACCTTGAAGGAGCTGGGAGTGGTGACGACCGACAGGGAACTCTGGCATGGACTGGTCCATGAAGTCACAAAGAGTCAGAAATGACTGAATGAATGAACAACAACAACAAATAAATACTGTGCATCATTGGGCAAGTAAGTTTAAAGATGTTGAGGTGGGAACATCTGACTTGCGTGACAAACAAAGAGTTGGACGTCCTGTGACGGCAACCACCGAGTTTCACAAGCAAAAGGTTGACAGATTGATTCAGGACGATCGTCGTATCACTCAGAGAAATTTCAAGCCTAATCGGCATTTCACAAGAACGTGTGGGACACATTATTGCTTTGCTTGGCTATTGGAAGATCTGTGCACGATGGGTACCCAGGATGAGAGAACTGTGAGATGCTGGTTGCGGAAACAGAGTGTCGACTTCTTCCGTGATGGCTTCAGAAAACTTATTCATCATTGGCAGAAATGTATCCAATTGTCTGGGGATTATGTGTGGGTCACATTATTGCTTTACTTGGCTATTGGAAGTTTAAAGATGTTGAGGTGGGAACATCTGACTTGCGTGACAAACAAAGAGTTGGACGTCCTGTGACAGCAACCACTGAGTTTCACAAGCAAAAGATTGACTGATTCAGGACAATTGTCGTATTACTCAGAGAGAAATTTCAAGCATAATCAGCATTTCACAAGAACGTGTGGGTCACATTATCGCTTTGCTTGGCTATCAGAAGATCTGTGCACGATGGGTACCCAGGATGAGAGAATTGTGAGACGCTGGTTGCGGAAACAGAGTGTTGACTTCTTCTGTGACGACTTCATTGTTGGCAGAAATGTATCCAATTGTCTGGTGCTTATGTGTAAAAGTGAATAGTGGTAGTTAAAGAACACATTCTAAGGATTATTTCGGTGTTTGACTTATTAAAATATTCCCATCCAAACCCACGTAACGAAGGTGGAGGCATTACTTTTCATTCAACCCTCGTATGTGCTCTTGATGCAGCTTCTTTCCTAGTCCTACCTACCCCATAAGTTCCAGGTACCCCTTCATGCCGACATATCCTTTGCTTAAGAGAGATCCCTTCAGAGAATAAATATTTGCTCCGCTCTCCACTCTCCGCTCCCAAAAGGCTCCCTTGCCAGTTCCAGAGCTTAGAAAACATCCCTCTGGACCAGACCTTTTTTCTCCCCTCCGCCCCACCTGCCTTCTCCAAATATTTGTTGGTTGCAGGGAACTCAGCTTTCAAGATGCCGAAAAGCACACACAGGGCTCTTTGATGCAACCTGTTTGCCCCACATGAAAGGCTGGAACAAGCCTGGGTCTCTGCTTTGTCGGATCACAAGAAAACAGGAAAAATGAGGCCGGCTCCTTCAGAGCAACCTGGTGAAAAGCGGCCAAAGTCCACACAGAGCAGGAGGCTCCTCGCTTGAAAGTCTATATGAAAGGGGGTTTTAATCAGAGACTGCCTGGCCATCTGTTGGGAGGGCTTGGATGGTGTCTTTTTGCCCAACAGAATGGGGTTGGACTAGGTGGCCCACGGGGATCCCTTCCTATTATAGTAGAACATGGTGCCTCAGAGTCCAGTGGAGCGTCCTTCTCTGTTTCTAAACAGAGGTTGGATGTCCATCTGTTGGGAGGGTTCAGATGTTGCCTCCTTTTGTCGTAGAATGGGGTTGGACTAGGTGGGCCTTGGAGATCCCTTTATATTATAGTAGAACATGATGCTTCAGAGTCCAGTGGAGCCTCCTTCTCTGTTTCTAAGCAGAGGTTGGATGGCCATCTGTTGGGAGGGTTCAGATGTTGTCTTCCTTCTTGGCAGAATGGGGTAGGACTAGATGGCCCTTGGGGATCCCTTCTTATTATAGTGGAACATGGTGCCTCAGAGTCCTGTAGAGCCTCCTTCTCTGTTTCTACACAGAGGTTGGGTGGTCATCTGTTGGGAGGGTTCAGATGTTGTCTTCCTTCTTGGCAGAATGGGGTTGGACTAGATGGCCCTTGGAGATCCCTTCCTATTATAGTAGAACATGGTGCATCAGAGTCCAGTGGTGCCTCCTTCTCTGTTTCTACACAGAGGCTGAATGGCCATCTGCTGGGAGGGTTCGGATGTTATTTCCCTTCCTGGCAGAATGGGGTAGGACTAGATGGCCCTTGGGGATCCCTTCGTATTATAGTAGAACATGGTGGAGCCTCCTTCTCTGTTTCTAAAAGAGGCTTGATGGCCATCCGTTGGGAGGGTTCGGATGTTGTCTCCCTTCCTGGCAGAATGGGGTTGGACTGGATGGCCTTTGGGAGACCCTTCCAACTCTAGAATTCTATGACTGAAAAGCCTCCAGAGACCATCAGGACACTCTTCCTACTATTCCATGCAATGATAGCTGTGGTTCAGTGTTATGGAGTTGAAGTTTTGCAAGATGGCTAAAAACCTTGCAAAACTACGACTCCCACAATCCCAGAGATGGCTAAAGACCTTGCAGAACTACAACTCCCGCAATCCCACAATATTGAGCCACAGAAGCTCAAGTGGTGCCAAACTGCATTAATTCAACAGTGTGGAAGCACCCAACGATGCTTCAGTGGTGGATATTCTCTATTGGCAAAGAGAGGTTGGACTAGATGACCTCTTGAGTTCCCACCAACTCTTCTGTTTCTCTCAATTGACTTATTATTTTGTAATTTTGGGACTCTAATGCCAGACTCAAATGTTCCCTTGTTGGAACTACAGCTTAAGTGGTGCCAAGCTGCATTAATTCCACAGTGTGGAAGAACCCAGGGATGCTTCAGCGGTGGAAATTCGGTTTTGGCAAAGGAAGGTTGGACAAGATGACCTCTTGGGTTCCCACTAACTCTTCTGTTTCTCTCAACTCACTTATTATTTTGTAATGCCAGACTCAAATGTTCCCTTGTTTTGATTTTCCGGACCCCGTTATTACTAAATCCCAAACCTGGGGTTAAAACCCAATCAGAGTAAACAAAGGCCCTGAAGCCAGGAGCCAAACCTAGCAATTGTCTTATTTCCAAATGAGAGGCTCCTCTTTTATCCCCTTCCCAGGAATGCAGAAACTAGAGATCCCACAATTATGGGGTGGGTGTGGGATAGAGGGATGGCTCAGACCAACATTTCATCCTTGAAGGAATATGGGATGGAGACAGTCAACATGCATCTAGAGTCATAGCATCCTAGAGTTGGAATAGGACTCCCTGCGACTTCCTCTCATATATTAATCCCTGGCCCTCATCATGTCTCTTCTCAGCCTTCTCTTCTTCAGGCGAAACATGCCCAGCTCCTTAAGCCGCTCCTCATAGGGCTTGTTCTCCAGACCTTGATCATTTCGGTCCCCCTCCTCTGGACACATTCCAGCTTGTCAACATCTCTCTTCAATTGTGGTGCCCAGAATTGGACACAATATTCCAGATGTGGTCTAACCAAAGCAGAATAGAGCATGGGGAGCATGACTTCCCTGGATCTAGACACTATGCTCCTCTTGATGCAGGCCAAAATCCCATTGGCATTTTTAGCCGCAGCATCACATTGTTGGCTCATGTTTAACTTGTTGTCCATAAGGACTCCAAGATATTTTTCACACGTTCTGCTCTTGAGCCAGGACAAGGCACACAAGATGGGAGGGCAAAAGGATTGATAAGAATTGTGACTGGATTGATCTTGAAGGAGCTGGGGGTGGTGACGGCCGACAGGGAGCTCTGGTGTGGGCTGGTCCATAAGGTCACGAAGAGTCAGAAATGACTGAACGAATGAACAACAACAAATGGCCATGTTCAATCTAGAAGCATTCTCTCCTGATGTTTCGCCTGTATCTGTGGCAAGCATCCTCAGAGGTTGTGAAAACCTTTTGAAGGAGCTGGGGGTGGTGACGGCCAACAGGTAGCTCTGGCGTGGGCTGGTCCATAAGGTCACGAAGAGTCAGAAATGACTGAATGAATGAACAACAACAAATGGCCATGTTCTAGAAGCATTCTTTCCTGACATTTCACCTGCATCTGTGGCAGGCATCCTCAGAGGTTGTGAAAACCTCTTGAAGGAGCTGGGGGTGGTGAAGGCCGACAGGGAGCTCTGGCGTGGGCTGGTCCATAAGGTCACGAAGAGTCAGAAATGACTGAACGAATGAACAACAACAAATTCCCATGTTCTAGAAGGATTCTCTCCTGATGTTTCACCTGCATCTGTGACAGGCATCCTCAGAGGTTGTGAAAACCTCTTGAAGGAGCTGGGGGTGTTGATGGCCGACAGGGAGCTCTGGTGTGGGCTGGTCCATAAGGTCACGAAGAGTCAGAAATGACTGAACGAATGAACAACAACAAATGGCCATGTTCTAGAAGCATTCTCTCCTGATGTTTCGCCTGCATTTGTGGCAAGCATCMTCAGAGGTTGYGAAAACCTCTTGAAGGASCTGGGGGTGGTGACRGCYGACAGGGAGCTCTGGYGTGGRCTGGTCCATAAGRTCACGAAAAGTCAGAAATGACTGAACAACAACAAATGACCATGTTCTAGAAGCATTCTCTCCTGATGTTTCGCCTGCATTTGTGGCAAGCATCCTCAGAGGTTGTGAAAACCTCTTGAAGGACCTGGGGGTGGTGACAGCCGAYAGGGAGCTCTGGTGTGGACTGGTCCATAAGGTCACGAAGAGTCAGAAATGACTGAACAACAACAAATGACCATGTTCTAGAAGCATTCTCTCCTGATGTTTCGCCTGCATCTGTGGCAAGCATCCTCAGAGGTTGTGAAAACCTCTTGAAGGAGCTGGGGGTGGTGACGGCTGACAGGGAGCTCTGGTGTGGGCTGGTCCATAAGATCACAAAGAGTCAGAAATGACTGAACGAATGAACAACAACAAATGGCCATGTTCTAGAAGCATTCTCTCCTGATGTTTCGCCTGCATCTGTGGCAAGCATCCTCAGAGGTTGTGAAAACCTCACAACCTCTGAGGATGCTTGTCACAGATGCAGGTGAAGCGTCAGGAGAGAATGCTTCTAGAACATGTTAGTTGTGTCTTCCTGGGGATTGGACTGGATGGCCTCTGGAGTTCCCTTTCCGGTTCTCTGAGCTCCCAAAAAGAAAGAAACCTACCTTTCATCATCTCCTTGCCACGAGTCCAATGGCTCCTTGATGCTCCAGTTCCAAGCTGGTCAGGAATGTTGCAGAAACTGCCAGGTGCTTCTTATCTGGCCATGGCAGGCCTCCCTTGATTGCGCCACATCCCGGCACATGAGTGCCTCAGAAGAGGGACTCTGAAGAAAAACAACAGCAGCATCCTGGTGGTGCTTCTTCCTGGTTCCTCCTCTACTTCTCCTCAAAGCAAAGTCCTATCTGTGGTCCATCCTCATGTGCAAAAAGATGCTCAGCACACCACTTCTCCAAGGAAGGCATTAGATGTGGTCCATCCTCAATCACTCAAGTTCTGGTTTCCAAAGTGTCAATGCACTGATGCTCAGCAAAGGGAGCTCTGATCCGAAGGACATACAGTGCGCGTTCTCATGTGCCGATGCGTGTAGAAAGGAACTATCCTCCTTGGCCGATGCTCCGGACTTCAGTGCACCCTCAGGTTGACGGTGCACTGCTTCATGCGCTGATACTCAGCAAAGGGAGCTGTTGTCCGAAGCACACACTATGTATGTTCTCATGTGCCAACTTGCAGAAAAAGGATCTATCCTCTTCAGCTGAAGCTCCAGCCTTCAATGCACGCTACCACTGATGGAGCACTGCTTCATGCGCCGATGCTCAGCAAAGGGAGCTCTTGTCCAAAGCACACACCATGTATGTTCTCATGTGCTGATGTGCAGAAAAAGGATCTATCCTCTTCAGATGATGCTCCAGCCTTCAATGCAGGCTAGCACTGATGGAGCACTGCTTCATGCGCCGAAGCTCAGCAAAGGGAGCTCTTGTCCAAAGCACACACAGCATGTATGTTCTCATGTGCCGACTTGTAGAAAATGGATCTATCCTCTTCAGATGATGCTCCAGCCTTGAATGCACGCTAGCACTGATGGAGCACTGCCTCATGCGCCAATGCTCAGCAAAAGGAGCTCTCTGCCTCCACCGACGCTGTGGCCTCCAATGCACCCTGGTGCTGACATCCCAGCCCTGTTTGGTCTCCTTCCTTGCCCCATGCGCGGCCTCCCTCTTCTCCCTTGGCGCACTCCTCCAACTCTTGGGCTTCAGCCCAAGCAAACTTCTCCAAAGAGTTCTCCAATGCGGCATCCAGTGGTGCCAGGATTTGGCTCACGCCATGGCAGGCCACAGCAGGCCACAGACCTAGTTTGGGGGTGGCAACACGGTCCACCTCCGTTCCTCCCTCTCGAGTGTGCGATGGTGTGCAAGCAGCAGTGGAGAGGCCGTTTTTTGGCGGTGTTTGTTGGGCCTGTGCCGGAGAAATGTGCGTGCGCCTCCGTCCCTCTCCCGCCTCCCCTCCCCACACTAATTGCTAACAAATGTCCTTCCTTTGCAGCCCAGTGGGAAGGGGAAGGCAAGGAATGCGCATGGATGAGCCTACAGATGGATGGGATGCAGCACATCCACCCTTGAGAAGGAATGTGCTGTGACACTGCTGGAGTTGCTATGGCTCCGGGATAAGGAATTCTGTGAGTTGTAGTTTGCTAAGGCCGAGAAAGCTAAAGGCCTTGGGAAACTACAACTCCCAGCACTCCTTATCACGGAGCCATGCATTCACTCAACAGCGTAGATGCACATGCAGACACATGAACACACTGCTGGGATTTTGGTTTCAGAAGCAGAGCAGATCCTATGGTGATGTTAAGCATTATGCATGGAGGGCCAGCCATGTTCACTAACAGGTTGCCATTCAGAGGAACCATTTAAAGGACCTCCAAAGGCCACCCAGTGCAATCCTGCTCTACCATGCAGGAAGACACAATTCAAACCCTCCTGACAGATGTCCATCCAGCCTCTGCTTAAAGAACTGCAAAGAAAGAAAGTTTGCCAGATTCCAAAGCAGTCCATAATATACCAGAGGGACCTCCAAGGGCCATCCAGTCCAACCCCCATTCTGCCACAATAAAAGCCCTCCCAACAGATGGCCACCCAGCCTCTGTTGAAAAGCCTCCAAAGAAGGGGAATCTACCTAAATCCCAGGCGGTCTAGATCCCACTAGATTTGGAAGGGATCCAGGAAGGCCACCCTGTGCAATCCCATTCTGCCCTGCAGGAAGACACAATCCAAACCTTCCTGACAGATGTCCATCCAGCCTATGCTTAAAGAGTTCCAAAGAAGGAGAGTTCACCAGACTCCAAAGCCGCCCATAATGCGCTCGTTCAGTTATTGGACCCAAGGACACTACTAAAGGAAAATGGTCACTTTCTGTGCATTCCAGGATTTCAAAAGTATTTACTAGGGGACTCAACCCAGGAGAGACCACTATGATCTCTTGTAGGAATTGTTCATTTTTTGGGTAATGTTTATGTAACATATATAGTGAACCTCTTTGTTTTCATAGCATAATAGAATCCTAGAGTTGGAAGAGGCCTGGAGGGCCATCCAGTCCAACCCCATTCTGCCAAGAAGCAGGAATATTGCATTCAAATCACCCCTGACAGATGGCCATCCAGCCTCTGTTTAAAGGCTTCGAAAGAAGGAGCCTCCACCACACTCCAGGGCAGAGAGTTCCACTGCTGAACAGCTCTCACAGTCATGAAGTTCTTCCTCATGTTCAGATGGAATCTCCTCTCTTGTAGTTTGAAGCCATTGTTCCATTGCATCCTAGTCTCCAGGGAAGCAGAAAGGAAGCTTGCTCCCTCCTCCCCCCTGTGGCTTCCTCTCACATATTTATACATGGCTATCATATCTCCTCTCAGCCTTCTCTTCTTCAGGCTAAACATGCCCAGCTCCTTAAGCCGCTCCTCATAGGGCTTGTTCTCCAGACCCTTGATCATTTTAGTCGCCCTCCGCTGGACACATTCCAGCTTGTCAACATCTCTCATCAATTGTGGTGTTTAGCCTTTGTAGTTGTTCTCAGCCTCTGTGCAGTTTAATAAACTTTTCCCATGTTTTTATGATAGAACCAATTAGGAAATGACATTTGTTCATTGCTCCATTTGTTTTGATGCAACTGTGCACCCGAACCATACTTGCAAACACATAATAATAATAACCCACCTCCAGTTCCCCGAAGGTGACTCAGGGCAGCTAACATGAGGCTGAGCCCAAAACAATACAGCATAATTAAATAAAATAAAATAAAATAAAATAAAATAAAATAAAATAAAATAAAATAAAATAAATAACATAATAAAAATCAAGCACAAAGGGCGGGCCAGATATACGAGATGAAGTATTAAAATTTTAATTATAAGGTTCTTGTGGGTTTTTTTGGGCTATAGAGCCATGTTCTAGAGGCATTTCTCCTGACGTTTCGCCTGCATCTATGGCAAGCATCCTCAGAGGTAGTGAGGTCTGTTGGAATTAGGACAATGGGTTTATATATCTGTGGAATGGCTGGGGTGGGAAAAGGAGCTCTTCCCTGCTGCAGTTAGGTGTGAATGTTTCAGCTGATCACCTCCATTAGCATTTGAAGGCTTGCCTGAGCCTGGGAAAATCTCTTGCTGGGAGGTGTTAATCTGTACCTGGTTGTTTCCTCTCTGTTGTTTTGGCTGCAAGAGATTTTCCCAGGCTCAGGCAGGCCTTCAAATGCTAATGAAGGTGATCAGCTGAAACATTCACACCTAGCTCCAGCAGGGAAGAGCTCTTTGCCCCACCCCAGCCATTCCACAGATATATAAACCCATTGTCCTAATTCCAACAGACCTCACTACCTCTGAGGATGCTTGCCATAGATGCAGGCGAAACGTCAGGAGAAATGCCTCTAGACATGGCCCTATAGCCCGAAAAAACCCACAAGAACCTAGTGATTCCAGCCATGAAAGCCTTCGACAATACATTTTAATTATAGTTATTGTTGCTGTCATCATCGTCGTCGTCCTTGTTTTTATTTTTCTCCCTTCTTTCTCCCAATATAGGGTCTCAAGGCAGCTAACAATAGAATTATAGAATCATAGAATCCTACAGTTGGAAGAGACTCATGGGCCAAAAATAAATAAGACATATTTAAATCCTAGCGTTAATTTTTTGCAATCGTGTTTTGCTAATTTCCTGAAAAAGCTTGTGCTTCCCCCCCCCCCCAAAGCAAATTAAAATGTCGCCAGACTGCCAGATATTTTGTAATTCTCTGCAAACAAATGGTCTCATCACGAGGGAAAAGGGAATGTTTCTGTAATGTAGGGATCCTGACTGATTTGTCAGCATTCTTCACAGCTTCCCAAACTGTTTTTTACAGACTTATTTCTAAGGTTGTGTCTGCTTTATTTATTTATCGTATCAGGAGTGAACCAAGGTATTTAAAAACACAGAGTTTTAAAAACTTGGCATTCTACATGGGAGTGCTTGGAACAGGAATAAAAATTTGGGGAGAATCACCATTTTAACCATTTTAATTTTGCTTGATATATCCCAATTTTGTTTTTTCCAACTACCCATCTGTTTGTTTATTTTTTTCCATAAGCTATTATAATTAGATTGGATTATATTAGGTTCTTGTGGGTTTTTTCGGGCTATAGAGCCATGTTCTAGAGGCATTTCTCCTGACATTTCGCCTGCATCTATGGCAAGCATCCTCAGAGGTTGTGAGGTCTGTTGGAAGTAGGAAAATGGGTTTATATATCTGTGGAATGGCTGGGGTGGGGCAAGGAGCTCTTCCCTGCTGCAGTTAGGTGTGAATGTTTAGCTGATCACCTTCATTAGCATTTGAAGGCCTGCCTGAGTCTGGGAAAATCTGTTGCTGGGAGGTGTTAATCTGTGCCTGGTTTTTTCCTCTCTGTTGTTTAGCTGTTATAATTTTAGAGTTTTTTAATACTGGTAGCCAGATTTTGTTCATTTTCATGGTCTTTTCCTTTCTGTTGAAATTGTCCACATGCTTGTGGATTTCAATGGCTTCTCTGTGTAGTCTGACATGGTGGTTGTTGGTGTGGTCCAGCATTTCTGTGTTCTCAAATAATATGCTGTGTCCAGGCTGGTTCATCAGGTGCTCTGCTATGGCTGACTTCTCTGGTTGAAGTAGTCTGCAGTGCCTTTCATGTTCCTTGATGCGTGTCTGGGCGCTGCATTTGGTGGTCCCTATGTAGACTTGTCCAGTGATTCCAGCCATGAAAGCCTTCGACAATACATTGGATTATATTGTTAAGGTTTTTGGGAATATATACACCCAAATATTTTATCCCCATCAAAATTATTCAAAAATGGGATTCTTCGATTAAAACTTGGATAGAAGGAACAAATAAAAATCGTATTCCCAAATCAGTATTTTATTCCTTAGAAGAGAATGGAGGATGGGGTGCCCCTAATTTACAGAATTATTTCGACGCCTGCCAATTAATAAGACTGATAGAACTAGATTTTGATGATTCAAGAAGATGGGCTAGAATTGAAAAAGCAATAAATGGATGGACCCAATTTAAGGTGCTGGTGTTGGCCTACAAAGCCCTAAACGGTTCCGGCCCAAAATACCTTTCTGACCGCATCTCGGCCTATGAGCCCACGAGGGCCTTGAGATCATCTGGGGAGGCCCTTCTCTCGATCCCGCCTGCCTCACAGGCACGTCTGGCGGGGATGAGAGATAGGGCCTTCTCAGTGGTGGCCCCCCGGCTATGGAGCACCCTCCCTGTTGACATCAGACAGGCGCCCTCACTTATGGCATTCCGTAAGAGCCTAAAAACATGGCTATTCGAAAAGGCGTTTAACTAAGTGCTATAACAATTGGCAATGACGACTGGAACGGAATATGGATTACGAGATTGGCTTATGATTCTATGTTGAGACGACGCGGATGATTTAGTTTAATTATATGTTTTGTAAACTGTTTTTATATGTTGTACACCGCCGTGAGTCGCCCTAAGGGGCTGAGAACGGCGGTCAACAAATGCAATAAATAAATAATAAATAAATAAGGTATTTATTAGGCCTGGGTAACAACGCAAAAATTTGTTTCTAAAATCGATTTGTATTTGGGGTTTTTTTTGTTTCGATATTTAAAATAATTACAAAATTTTCCCTTAAAAAAGTTCGGTATTTACGAAATTTCGTTAATATTTACAAAACATTTTGTAAAGATGGCGCCCTTTTTTTCAATATTTTTTTCAATATTTTTTTAATTTAATTATTAATTTAGTAGAATAGGGAGGAGAAATTATTATTAAGGAGGGAAGGCAGGCACTCACTCTGGCGGGCCCTCAAGCGCTGCCGCCGAGTCGGGCCCGGCTCCTCCGAAGCAATGCGAAATTGGGAGAAGGGCTCCCCAAAGGCCATCTAGCCCAGCCCTCCGCTAAGGAATTGGGAGAACGAAGCACAGCCCTCCGCTAAGGAATTGGGAGAACGAAGCACAGCCCTCCGCTAAGGAATTGGGAGAACGAAGCACAGCCCTC